TTTGGATTCGGCGGTCATTGATCATATAAATCATAAAATCGATAGGGTATTGATAAAAAATCCCGCCGTGTATCCACCACAAAATGGTCGTGATGTGGAGCTTAATTATAATTTAGAAGAGCTGCAGGAGAGTAAACTGAGGCCAAATGCCACTGAAGCTGATGAGGATATCGCTTTGGGTGCGATTATGAATTTTAATAAATATTTAATAGAATTACAAGATATGCAGCATACGGTAGCGGAAGCAGAGGCTGAACTAATAGGACTGGCCGAATATGGAAATTGGAATCCCAAACAAACGGAAAAGGCCTTGCAGGTTTATCAGCTTTTAAGGAATGCCGCTGAGAATGGCTCAACATTTGAAATACCACAGGCCTTGAGGATCTATGACCTATTTAAGGTTCAGGAGATATTTGGAGAGAAATTTCTTGAGCAAGAGAGAGAAAATCAAAGGGAGAAGGAAGATACTGTAAAGAAGCAGGAGAGAGAATTGGAGGATTTTGAAGAGAAATTAAAGGAAAGAGAGTTGGAAAATTTCCATCTGGAAGAGGAAAAATTAAAGGAAATGGAAACTGAAATGAAAAAGGCAATGGAAAATGAGTTAAGGGAAAAGGAAGAGAAGGAGCTGGAAGAAGAGAAGGAAAAACTACAAGAAGAGAGTCTCAAAGAAGAGCAGCATTTAAGGGAAGTAGAAAGAAATTTGGCAAAGGAATTGGAAGAGGAATTAAGGGCCAAGGATGAAGAGCTACTAAAAGAAGAACAATTAAAGTGGAGGGAGAAAAATCAAGAATTGGAAAAGGAGGAAGAAGAGAAGTTGCAACAAAAGGAACAGGAGGAAGAGGAGGTTTTAAGAAAACAGTTGGAAGAAGATGAGAAGAAATTAGCAGCTGAAGAGGAAAGAGAGGAACAAGAACTACAACAAAAAATTACAGAATTCCAGGAAGAAGAAACCAAAACGGAAGAGGAAAATCAAAAGAAACTCAAAGAAGAAGAAAAGAGATTGGAAGAAGAATTGGAAAATAAATTGCTGGACAAAGAAAGGGAAGAAGAAGAGAAACTACAAGAAAAGGAGATAGAACTAGGACAACAACAAGTCGAATTGGAAGCCCAGCAGGAAAGAAAACTGGAAGAGAAGGAACAACAAGAAGAACAAAGATTAGAAGAAGAATTCACAAAACATTTACAGCAGCTGAACAACGAAGAAGAGGAAATAGAAAGGGAACTGAGAGAAAAATTACAACAATTCGAAAAAGAAGAAGAGGAAAATGAAAGAAAAGTGGAACAAGAAATGGAAGTAGAATTCAAAGCCAATGAAGAAAATCGATTGCAAGAAGAACTGCTAACATTGGGTGAGAAATTGGATAACATTTTTCAAGAGAAAATGGATGAGCTAATGAAAATGGAAGAAGCAAAATATGAAAAAGAATTACAAGAAAGAGAGGAAGAATTTTTAAAAGAAGATGAAGAGAAATTAAAAGAAAAGGAATTGGAATTAGAAGCTGAGTTAAAAGCAAAATTGGAAAATATGGAAAATCAATTAACGAAAATGGAAAGTGAAAGAGAAGGAGAGATGGAGGAAAAACTGAAACAGCAAGAACAACAACTGTTGCAACAAAATGAAGAACAATTGGAGGTTGAAGGTCAACAGTTAGAAAAACAAATGGCGGAGAAATTTAATGAAGAAGAAAATAACTTAAGGCAAGAGGAGTTTCAGGTGGAAAAGGAACTGAAAAAAGCAGAAGACCTAAAAATACCAGCTGACCAAGAAACAACCGGTGAAGATAGTGATTCCCATTCCTCGGAACCAGAAGCACCTGTTCCTGCAGATGAGGAAACACCAACTGCTGGCGATATTGATTCTCATTCCTCTGGACCAGAACATTCAAAATTGCCCATTGTGTTGGCATTTTATCAACGACTTCAGTTATCAAGCCAAGACTACAACAATATTGTACGCGAACTAACCCGGACTTTGGCAAGAGGTTTGGAAAAGGGCGAAGAGAGGGAAATTAAATTTAGGATTAATTTTTAGAAAAAAAAAATATTTAGGAATTAAGAAACTGTTGCTACAAACTAATAAATTTAATACAAAATTTGTATGAATTTGTTTGGATTTAAAAAAAAACAGTAAGGAAGGTAGTAAAGTCGGAGTGGGCCTACTACTTACAATAGCATGTCAATGTTCCCTCGAAGGAACATACACATGCCGTTCTGCAACCTGTGATAAATTTAATTTCATTCGGGCAGATTTAGAGTGGGGCAAATTTATGGAAAACCGCACTGTCAAAAATTTAATCTCAATCAGACATCCGTTCGAAATACTTATGAAAGCTACATCTGCACAAATTTCGACAAAACGCAATAAAGTCATAAAATCGGAAGAAAATATATATGGGATCTATATCCAAATCTGAACCGATTTTCACGAACCTTAACACGCATCGTTCTAGACTACATTCAGTACCCTATGCCAAATTTCGTGCAAATCGAAAGATATATAGGGTCTTTGATGCATTATTTACATAAAATCGGACGAAAATATATATGGGAGCTATATCGAAATCTGAACCGATTTTCATGAAACTTTGCACACATCATTCTAGGCTCAATTCAGTACGCTATGCCAAATTTCATTCAAAGCGAATCATATATAGGCACTTTGGTGCACCATTTACATAAAATCGGACGAAAATATATATGGGAGCTATATCTAAATCTGAATCCATTTTCACGAAATTTAGAACTCATAATTCTAGACTCAATTGAGTACCCTATGCCAAATTTCTTGCAAATCGAAAGATATATAGGGACTTTGGTGCACCATTTATATAAAATCGGACGAAAATATATATGGGAGCTATATCTAAATCTGAACCGATTTTCATGAAACTTTGCACAAATCATTCTAGGCTCAATTCAGTACGCTATGTCAAATTTCGTTCAAATCGAATGATATATAGGGCCATTGCTGCACCATTTACATAAAATCGGACGACAATATATACGGGAGCTATATCTAAATCTGGAACGATTTTCACGAAATTTTGCACACATCATTGTAGACTTAATTCAATACGCTTTGCTAAATTTTGTGCAGGTCGAAAGATATATAGAGACTTTCGTGCACCATTTACATAAAATCGGTCGAAACTATATACAGGAGCTATATCTAAATCTGAACCGATTTTCACGAAGCTTAGCACACATCATTCTACAATCAATTCAGTACGCTGTGCCAAATTTCGTGCAAATAGAAAGATATATAGAGACTTTGGTGCACCTTTTACCATAAATCGAACGAAAATATATATGGGAGCTATATCTAAATCTGAATCCATTTTCACGAAATTTAGAACTCATCAGTCTAGACTTAATTCAGTACGCTATGCCAAATTTCGTGCAAATCTAAAGATATATACAGACGAGCAAATCGTATGGGATATAGGGACATTGGTGCACCATTTACTGAAAATCGGACGAAACTATATATGGCAGCTATATCTAAATCTGAACCGATTTTTCCCAATTTCAATGGGGTTCGTCCTTGAGCCAAATAATTAACCTATGCCAACTTTCATCCAATTCGGGTCATAAATGCGACCTGTATGACAGTTACTCTATAGCAGTACTCTCTACTGGTCAGCTTACTTTATTGTAGAGACTTCTGGCGGACAACTACTGTATTATAATGACCTCAGAGGCCATTTACACAAAGGTAGAGCTTTTCAAAGACATCTACACTATTACAGTTGAATCTGAGGCCAACGAATCTATTGTGGTGACCAGCTACTCTATTGTGGTGACCTCTTGATGTCACCTACAATATTGCAATTGTTTCCAGGATTAGATATTTGATAACAGATGTCTCTGAGGGCAAGTACACTACAGTAGTGGTACAAGTTTATCTCAGTGACCTCTGAAAGCCAGCTACTTTGAATGTGCTTTGGAGGCCAGCTACTCCAGGTAGAGGTGGAAATCTATTGTATTTTTATAATCTCTGAGCTCATATACTCCAAAGTTTTTTGTCATTTGAGGATAGGTACTTTGTAGTAGTCTGTAGTTGAGATCCATAATGGTTAGTTACTCCATTTTGGTGGCCTGCTACTTCATAGTGATAGGCTCTGGTGGTCACATGTTTTATTGCACTGGTTTCTGATGCTATAGTAGTGGCCTCTGGTGGCCACCTACACTATTCTAGTTCCCTCTAGTCATCTCCTATTCTAAATTTGTGTTCTCAGAAGCCAATATTTTTGTGGCCTATATAGCAGTTCCTTTTTAGTATGACCTCTGGTGTTAAGCTACGAGAAATCAGAGACTTATGAGACCATATATCTATGGTAGGGGTCGTTAAGGCAGGCCCCATTATATTTGTAAAATCAAGCTTATAGTGGGAACCTCACAAAAAAAAATCATTAAAAAACAAAAACTCCACGCCTAGAATTAGAAGATTCAAAAAATATTAGGCCCTCTTAATGGGCCCTTAACGAAATTTTTAAAAATTTCACTCAGCAAAAATGTTTAAAAAAAATTCACGCCTTTTCACTTTTTGACCTCCAGAAAGTTACTATAAAGTTGTGATCTCTGGTAGTCACCTAACCTGTCGTAGTGGCCTCTGGTAGCCAGCAGTCTATAGCAGAGACCTCTTTTGGTTTCTGATATAGTAGTGACCTCTATATGTCAGCTATTTTACTGTAGTGTCCTCCGGTGACATACGAAGTACGTTACTGCTTTGTATTAACCTTTGGAGGCCCTGCACTTTATAGTCTATGGTAGGGGTCGTTAAGGCAGGCCCCATTATGAATCAGGCTTAAAATTAGAACTTAAAAAAATATAGGGCCCTCTTAATGGAGCCTTAACAAATTTTACAAAAATTTCACTCAAAAAAATGTTTAAAAAAATTCACGCCTTTTCACTTTTTGACCTCCTCGATGAAAAATTTTTAAATAAAGTTCCAAACTTTAAGTTTCATTCCTTTTTCATTTCCTCTCTCCTCACTTTATTCACTCTCCAAATTTGAAAATTTCATATTCCAGCACCTTTTCATTGAGAAAACTACCAAATTTACTAGATACCTCATCGAATATATCGACAACCCGCAACTTTTCCGCATTATCTTTAGATGCCAAAGCATTTTGCACCTCCTTCAAAAGACTCCTGATATCCTTTTCAAATGTCCCCACAACACCTTGTTGCAGCAGATACTCCAAATATTCTTGGAAAAATTTCAAATGGGCATTCAACACCGGAGGTGGTTCCGGATTTTCATTTAAATAATCCCATAGATCATCAGCAATACTTTCCGCTGCCTTGGTATAGAATTCAAATTTTTCATCAAGACTGTGGATTTTATGGGCCTCCTGAATTTTATCCAAAAAACTCTGGGCCTCCTTGGCCAAATGGTCATTCAGTTCGGGCAGTATCTCTTGGACATACCAGCGATGAATGAGAATATCCTCGTTAATATATTGTTTATCCAATTCGGATTGTAGGTAGTCGGCAAATTGGGAATTCAAATTATCATTGTAGGTATCGAGTAGTGCAATCTTCTCCTTTACCGAATCCTTGGCCAAGGTGCTTGCAAATAGCGATTTCAATTTTTCCAACTCCGGTAAATATTCCGTTTTGAAACTTTTCGCAATAATATCGAAACGCATGAGGTAGTGTTGCAGGCGGCCATTTGTGTGTTCCTCCTCATCGATGGGGGCGACGGGTGGTATTTCTGAAAGCTGTTGACAAAATTTGGTATCCTTTAATTTTCCTCGTCTATATCCTGTTATCTATTTACCCTTTGTTTTATAAATAAAATCACGATTAATATTTGAAATGAAAATTTCATTTTGGCTTCGGATTTTTTTTTTCGAAATTTATTGTTCACTTTGGTATACTGCCCGACAGATTGCGTGTCGCCTCAATATTATGTGCGTTTATATACAAAGCTTTGACTACAGAAATATTCAATCCAATATATAAATGAAAAATCAAATGACGATTTCAGAAAAACCATTGTGTGTATGATTTATATTCAGTGGAGTGATGGATATTTTGAAAACTCTAAATACAATTTTATTAATAGTTTTATGAAAAAATATATATTTTAGAAAATAATAACATAAATAAATATTAATAAAAAATCAGCTCCTAAAAGTATGCCAGTAAAACATATACTCAATACCAAATATCATTTGACTGAAAAAATATTTTTAATAAATCCACGCCTATTTTGGATGACTGAAAAAATATTTTTAATAAATCCACGCCTATTTTGGATGACTGAAAAAATATTTTTAATAAATCCACGCTTATATATATTTGACTGAAAAAATATTTTTTAAAAATCCACGCTTATATATATTTGACTGAAGAATGTTTTTAAATTTTTATCCACGCCTTATATTGGTCCCTTAAAAATATTTTTAAATTTTTATCCACGTCTTATATTGGTCCCTTAAAAATATTTTTCAAAATCCACGTCTTGACCCTTATAAAATATTATTTATTAATTTTATTTCTCTCAATCAAATTTTGTTAAGTGTTTGCGAAAAAAATCTGTCGTCATAACCAAAGATCATGAATAAGCACAAATAATCGCTAAGATATTTTTTTTTTTGCCATCATATAATTAGCAAGGTGAGCCCGTACACGCAATATGACATTTCACATAGACAATATATTTGTACCTACCTACATATATGTATGTAGGTATGTATATATACTAAGTATATATGAACTTATCAGACAATACATTTTCTATTAGTTAACACTTTAGTGCATATAGTTGCAAAATTTTGAGTTAACCTAACGTAAAGTGAAAGTTCGCAAACTTGTGTTGTGTGTGAATTTTTTTATTAAATCCGATGTCTAGAAAATAAAAATCGGAAATTAGTGGAGTCATAGATGAGCTACACTGAAGCCATCTTAGAGCAAATTTTTTTGAAGAAAATTAATATTAAATTGTGACCTCTGGTTGTCTCCTACGCTATCGTAATGACATCTGGTAGCCAGCCCTCTATAGCAGAGACCTCTGGCGGTCACTGATGTAATAGTGACCTCTACATATCACCTACTTGGCTGCAGTGCCCTATGGCACTGCACCTAAATTCTTCCATAGCCAGCAACTCTACTGAGGTTACCTTTGAAGTCAATTACTCTAATGTAATGGCCACTTTACAGCTGTTACTCTATTGTATTGTCCTCTGGACACCAGCTACTCTAATATAGCAGAGTACGAGGCTATATATTCTATAGTAATACCCTCTAGTGGTCTCTGAGATCAACTGCATTTAAGTAATGACCTCTGATGGCTAGCTACTTGAAAGCAGACATCTGGTAGCCAGCCCTCTATAGCAGAGACCTCTGGCGGGCACTGATGTAATAGTGACCTCTACATATCACCTACTTGGCTGCAGTGCCCTCTGGAGACCAACTCCTTTATATTTGCGGCATGCCTATGGAGGTCATACACCCTATAGTAGTCTTCTCAGATGTCATTCACACTATCATAATCATCACTGAGGCCATCTACTTTGTAGTAGTGACCTTTATACACGACAATTAATAGCAATGACCTCTTAGGGCCAGCTACTCTATTGTAAAGGCTTTTAAAGCAAAGCAACTCTACAGAGGTTGCCTTTGAAGTCAATTACTCTAATACAATGGCCACTGTACAGCAGTTACAGTGGACAGTAGTGTCCTCTGGACACCAGCTACTTTAATATAGCGGAGTACTATATATATTCTATAGTAATGCCCTCTAGTGGTCTTTAAGTAATGACCTCTGCTGGCTAGCTACTTGAAAGCAGAGGGTTCATAGATCAGATACTGTATTTTAGTTGACTCTGGTGACCATCTATTCCATAGCAGTGGGTACCAGTATTATTGCAGAAACCTCTGTTGGCCAGATATTGTATTTAATGGCCTCTGTGGGCCAGCTACACTATGTGTGTGGGCTCTTGTACCGACCTAATAATAAGTAGTGGTCTTTGAGAGAAATTTCAAATTAATAGCGACCCCTTTGTATAACTACTTTATAGCTGTGACCTCTGTTGGTCAGATATTGCATTTAATGGCCTCTGAGGGCCAGCTTCACTATGGTTGTGGGCTTTTGTGCCAACATACTAAAAAGTAGTGATCTCTGAGACAAGTTTCAAATTAATAGCAACCCCTGGGTACAACTACTTTGTAGCTTTGAACTCTGCTAGCCAGCTAGTATATTGTAGAAATCTATGAGGTTAGCTATTCTATAGGTATGACCTCTAAGGAAATCTACTCGTTTCTGGTAGACGCTGGTGGTCATATAAGTTATTGTCGTGGCATCTGAAAGTAGTCACTCTCTTGCAGTGACCTCTTACGGACAGCTGTTGTAAAAGTCTCTGAGATCAATGACTGGCATCTGAGGCCAGTTCAACACTTGTAGTGACCTCTGGTGTCCACATACACTATTGTAGTGGTCCCTGAAGTTAGTAAATAGGTTGCTGTGACTTGGTGGACAACTACTCTATAGTTGTGACCTATGAGACAAGCTCCACTGTTGTAGTGGCCAGATAAGTTATTATGGTGGCCTCTGAAGTTGATCACTCTGTTTTTTGTGGAATCTGAGAAAATCTACTCTTTAGTAGTGGCATCTAAGGCAAGATCCACTATTGTAGCGACCTCTGGTTATCACTTACTGTATCGTAAGGGTTGATATCTACTCTTTAGGCCAGCTAATATACTGCAAAGGCCTCGGAAGATCCGCCACCCTATTGTAAAGTCATCTGATGATCACCTACTCTACAGTACTGGTCTCTGAGGCCAACTATTGGATGGCAAAATCATCTGAGACCAGTTACTCTATTCTAGAGGTCTGTACATTTCAGATACTCTATTACAAGGTGATGTGAGTTCATCTAGTTCGTAGAAGTCATATGTAAGGTCTAGCTATTCTTTAGTAGTCGGTTCTGAAGCCACATACTCAGTCGTTTTGGCATCTGTAGATCAGCTAACCAATGGTTGCAGCCTTTGAGGCCACTTACTATATTGTAAAGATCCGCTATTCTATAACTTTGGTCCTCGAGGCCAACTAATTAAAGACAAAAGCATGCAGCTAATCTGTTGTAGCGGCCTCTAGGTGTAAGATACTATATTTTAATTGTCTTCTAAGTAATTTGGTTCATATAAGTCATCTCTGCTGCCCAACTATTCATCATTAAAACCTCTGTTGCCAGCTACATCTAAATAATCTCCTCTGAGATCAGCTACTCTATTGTAAAGGCCTCTTAGCATCTGCTATACTACATTTGTGGCAGCCGAGGTCAATTACTTGATGTAAAAGCATCTGAGGCCAGCTACTTTATTATATGGCCTCAAGGAGCTACTGTATTATAATATCCTCTAGAAGTCTTTATTATAATGGCCTAGTGGCCTTTTGATGGAGTGAACATATACATATGATGTGTAGTAATCTCGCCTCTGAGACTAGCTTTAGTAATCGCCTCTGAAGCAAGCTAATCTACTGTATTGGTCTTTTGAGGTCATCTATTCTATTTTAGTGGCCTCTGATGATCAAATCTCTATCATAACGGCCCCACCTTCCCTTTGGTAGTCATCTCTGAACCAAGTTACTCTATTTTAAACCATCTGTGAATATACTTCTATATAGTGTTGGTCCCTAAGCCCAGCTACTTGATAGCAGAACCATCTGACAACAGCAACTCTATTCTAGTGTCCTCTAGGTGTCAGATATTGTATTATAATGGTATATGAGGTCATCTAAACCACAGAAGTAATTTTTACGTGGCAAATATTATGTGGCAGTATCATCAGGTGCCAGCGACTCTTCAATAGTCGCCTCTGAGACCAGCTATTTTTTCGCAATCGCTTCTAAAGCAAGCTACCATATTGTAAAGGCATATGCTTCTCCATAGTATTGAGCATTTGAGGCCATTTAATCTATTAATGTGGGCTCTGGAACTCAATTGTAATGATCTCTGGAGTTTAGATACTCAGTTTATATTGACCGCTGAAGTACTCTAATCCAGAGAAGCTAGAATCAGATACAAAGTACTTTTTTGTAGTTACTTCTAAAGTAAGCTACTCTATTGCAATGGCATCTGTGAATCTGCTTCTCCATAGTATTGGTCTCTGAGGCCAGCTACTCGATATCAGAAACATCTGAGGCCAGTACCAATATTGTAGCGGCCTCTAGATGTCAGATACTCTATTTTAAAGGCCTTTGATATCATCTAATCCATAGAAACTATCTCTACGACCAACTATTATTTATACGAGACCTCTAATGGCAACTAATCTTCAATAGTCCCATCTAAGGCCTTAGGTCAGCTTATGAGGCCAGCTACTCTACAGTAGAGGTCTCTAGCCCAGCTGTTTGATAGCAGAGTCTCTTTTGCCACCTAATAAATAGTAGTGGCCTCTGAGGTGCATCTACACTATTGTAATCGCCTCTGACAGGTCTTTAGTAATGGTCTCTAGTGTACAGCTGTTCTATTGTAGAGTCCTCGTAGTGTCAGCTACAATATCGCAGTGGATTTCGAGCTGCTGCTGACCTCAGAGACATCTGTCTACTTAATGAAAGATGTTTCTGAGTTGAGCAACTGTTTTTAGTGGCATCTGGCGGTCAAATTTATAATATCAAATACTCTGAGGTTAGCTATTTCATTGTAGAGGCCTCTGAGGGGCAGCTACTGTTTAGTAGGGGTATCTACTCTACTGTAGATTCCTTTTAATGTATGTTACCATATATTAGTGGTTTTTTGGGTTAAGCTACTTGACACCAGATGCCTCTGGGGGTCAACTACCCTTTAGTAATGGTATTCTCGGTCAGCTATTTAATATCAGATGTCTGTATGATCAGATACTTTATATTAGTTGCATCTAGTGGCCTATTATGGTGTAGGAATGACCTCTATTGGCCATTTACTTTTTGATAGTGGCCTCGTTTGTTCAACTACACGTGGTAGCAGAAGCCTGTAAAACCAGGCAAAGCTGAAGGACATATTCTTGGTATTCTGCGGCCACTTGCGCTTAAGTAGTGACCTCATTTGGCCAATCTAATCAATCAGAGGCCTCTAGAGATCACTTAGTGTCCTATGGTTACAGGTTACTCGGTTCTTTTTTATTTGCTAAGTCAAACCCTCAACCCATACTGTGTATACTTCTAAGTGTAGGGTATCGAAATTATGAACTTTATTATAAGTTGCTTGATTAGTAGTCCCACTTGTTGTTCGCTTAACACAATAACCAAGTGGCATTAACACAGACAATAATATTTGTCTCGTTTGCTTTTTATATCACCTGTTCTTTTTTGTTTTTTAATCATTAATAGCTACCTATAGATCGAGATTCTGATAAACTAATTCGAAATCAGAGCAAAGATGATAAATTTAAACAAAATGTATGCAATTTATTTTCGGATGAGAATAAGTAATCAGTTGATGCTGGAACGAGAGAGAGAGGAGGGGAGTAGAGGTATTAAAAAAATATCTCCATAATCTCCTTCTCCCCCTTCCAATTGATGAATGACTCAACGTTATTTGATGACGATTTTGCAAAATAATTGTCACATTGTCGTACTGCTTAGCAAACTTCTTTGTGAAGTCGTCCGAACAATAATAATAGTAATAATTTGTTGTTGTTTTTTAATTAGTATGTTCTAGAACTGATAATTAATTAAAAAATAATGGCAATGGCTCTAGGCAACTCGGCCCCTCTTCAACATCAATGGGTCTGGCTAGAAATGAAACGCTTATATACGTGATCGGATTATGCTGAGGCTAATTAAGTTATTTTGTTGGGGAATTTTTTCAAGTTCGGATTGGTTATTCTCAATATCTGTGGGGTAATAAATTTAATAGAATTTCAGGATAGAGAGTAAATAAACAACTTAAATTGGACTACATATTATGAAACAGAAAAGAAAACAAAAACCAAAAGGCCAGGTATTCGGCAAAACAAAACACAATTTTAAAAAAGGTCTGTACGAAAGTGGGGATTTTTTAAAAATATTTTTGTAAATAATTTTTCGATTTGGATATTTTTTCTAACAAGAGACTCGATTTTTAGTGACCTCTAAAGCCATCTCCTCCATAGCAGTGGCCTCTGGTGCTTATAATCTATAACAGCGGCCTCCAAGGCCATCTACTCTATAACAATGGCATCAGAGGACCAGCTCAGCTATCAGTTACTACTTTAAAGCAGAGGCTTGTGAGGTCAGCTACTCTATAGTAGAGGCCTCTGAGGCAAGCAAGAATTTATTAATAGCCCGTGAGGGCCAGCTAGTTGATAGCTGAGGTTTGTTAGGCAAACTATTCAACAGCAGTGGCCTCTGAAGGGTTGATATTCCATTGTAGTGGCCTCTGAGGGACTGCTATACCATTGTAGTGACCTCTGAAGGACTGCTATTCCATTACGAGTAACCTCAGATTTGAAATTTCCCTTTAATAATTGTCTCTGTTATCCAGCTGCTCTATTGCCATACTTTATTGGTTTCTAGAGATAGCTCTAGTGCCAACAACTCCATAGCAGTGGTCTCTATTTCATTGTAGTGACCTCTAATTGTCACTTACTCAACAGCAGTGGCCTCTAGTACTCAGTTACCATATTGTCGCCATATAATTTATAATAGTAACATCTGCTCTACTGTCGAAGTCTCTGGATGTCGGCTACAATATTGCAGTTTTTTCCAGGATCCGATACTTTATAACAGATGTATCTAAGGACATCCACGTGATGGCCTCTGGTATCTAGCTACTTAATAGCAGAATCTTCTGAGGTCAGTTACTCTATAGTAGAGGCCTCTGAGGCATGCAAGAGTTTGTTAATAGCCTCTGAGGGCCTGCTACTTTATGACAAATGCCTCTTAGTTTAACTACTCAACAGCAGTGGCCTCTGAAGGTCTGCTATTCCATTGTAGTGGTCTCAGAGGTGCAATTTCTAATTAATAAAGGTCGCTGGTATCCAGCTGTTTTATTGTAACGGCATTTGAATTCCGGCTACCATATGCCGCCTCTGGAGTAAGGTACTCTATAGCAGTATCTGGTATCTGAGGTCAACTAGTAGAGATCAGAAGTATATGAGGCCAGTTACTCTACTGTAGTGGCCTCTATAGGTCAGCTACTCTATTGCCACTACAATAGGATAGCTGACCTCTACTTTCCACTTACTTCATAGTAGCAGCCTCTGGAGGTCAACAGCTATATTGCAAGAGTTTCTGAGGCCATCTAGTCCGTAGAAGTAATCTCTAAAGCACAGTACTCATTAGCACCCACCTACTCAGTGGTAGTGGCCTCTAATGATCAGCTAATCTTCAGTACTCTGAATCAAGCTACTCTTTAGCAGTGATCTCATAGGTCAACTACAGGCAAACAGAAGCGTCAGAGGCTAAATACTCTAATATAGTGGCCTCTGGAGGTCAGCTGCTCTATTGTAGTGGCCTCTAGAGCTCAGCCACTCTAATGAAGTGATCTCTACATATCCGATGCTCTATTATAATGGCTTCTAAAGTAATCTAGTCCATAGAAGCCTACGCAACAATTCTTCTTTAGTAGAGACCAGTTATACTTTAATATTCGTCTCTGAAGCAAGGTACTCTATTGTAAAGACTTCTGCCATACCATATAGTGGAGTTTCTGACGTCAGTGATATCAGATGCTTCAGAGGCCAGGTACTTCATTGTATTGGCTTCTGAGCGGCAGCTTTTCTGTAGTAATCGTATATGCTATTCATCAGTTCTAGATGCCTCTAAGTCCAGTGTATTGGCTTCTGAGGCAGCCACTCTACAATAAGTGTATCTGGTGTCCAGCTGCTTTTATAGAGTCATCTGAGTGCCAGCTACCATAAAGTAGTTGTTTCAGTTACTTGACTGCAGATGCCTGTGAGGTCAGCTACCTTTTAATAATGGCCTCCTACGCCAGCTGTTTAATAAAAAAAAACGGTTTCGAGTCAAGCGAATCGACTTTAGTGAAATCTAGTGGCCACCTACTTGATAACAAATGCTTATAATCCCACATAGTCCAATGTAGTCACTTCTGAGATCATCTACTTTGCAGCAGATGTCTCTGAGGTCAGACACTCATTAGTAATTGCCTCCTAGCCAAGTTGATTGATATTGGAGAGCTCTGACACTATATTAATGACATCTGGTGCCCAGCCATGTTATAGGGGGGACTTCTGGGGGCCAGATAATCCATTGTAGTAGGATCTTAGAGACAGCTACTCTTTAGTAGGTGCCTCTGGGATCCAGCTGCTTTATTATATAGCATCTGAGAGTCAGTTACCATATAATAGCAGTTTCTGATAACAGCTACTTGACAGCAGATGTCTCTGAGATCAGCTAATCATTAATAAGATCCTCCTAAGCCAGTTATTTTATATCAGAGTGCTATGAGACCAGCTACTCTATTCTGGAGGCATCTGATGGCCAGCCACTCTGTAGTAACGACCTCTAATAGCAGTATTCATGTTAGTGGCCTCTCGAAGCCAGCTACCTGATACCAGAGGCTTTTTACGCCAACTACACGATAGTAGTGACCTCTACAACAAGAAACACTATATTAGTAGATTCTGAGTGCCCGCCACTTACAACAGAGGTCTATGAAGTTTACTACTCAATAGAAGAGGCCTCTCAAGGGAAGTTACACCATATTGGTGACCTCTACGGGTTGTTTGTCTTTAGGAATGATCTCTGGAGCCAATCTGTTCTCCTGCAGAGGCCAACTATTTGATAAAAGATGACTCTGATATTTGCTATACCTTAGGAATGGATTGATTAGACTGCTGTTTGGCAGCAGATGACTCTGAGGCCAAATAGTTTTTAGTAAGAGTCTTGTAGGTCATCTATTTGATAACAGATGGCTTTGTGATAAACTACTCTATTTTAGTTGCCTTTGATGGCAATATACTTTGTAGTAGTCTCTGCTGACCATCTTCACGATAGCAGAGGGTTCGTAAGTCATTTATTTCATAACAGATGGCTCTGCAATAGACTATTCTTTTGTGTGGCATCTGATGGCGATATACTTTGTAGTAGTTTCTGCTGACCATCTGCACGATAATAGAGGTTTCTGAGACATGTTAGGTGATAGCCGGTGCTTCGGAGGCCACATACCTGACACCAGATGTCTCTGAAGCATTTGAGGACAAATGACGACAACTACTGAAAAACTGTGGCTTCTGAGACCAATATTTATCGACTCTAAAAGGAAAATGTTTTAAAAATAAGTGGACCCTTTCATATAGGCCCTTGAAAACATATTTTAAAAAATCCACGCCTTATAAAATATTTTTAACTATCCACCCCTCATATATTCCCTTGAAAACATATTTTTAGTAATTCACGCCTTTCAAAGGCCCTTGTAAACATATTTCTAAAAAATCGCTCTTTGTATAGGCCATTTTCTGTGGACTTAACATGTCCACGACTTATGTAGGCCCCTGAAAAAAATGTTTGTAAAAAATCGTAGCCCAATGATGGAACCTCAGAAAGAAAAATATATTTTTCTTAATTTTTTTATTTAAAAAATCCTAATTTATTGTATTAAAAAAATAGTAGATCTAACTAAAATCGATCACAACACCATTTCCTTCGCTTAAATTCATGCCAATTCAATATTCTTCTTAGCCAAGTAGATATTCAATTCTTGATTATTGGTATCGGCAATTTCACCCAGCACGCGATTCTTTTCATCGACAGAAACACCATCAGCCAAGGCAGCTTCAACCATGGCCTTCAAATCGGTAATTTCTTTTTCGAATTTACCCTCCTTTTGTTCCAATAAAGTTGAGAAGAATTTGGCAGTCTTTTGCAAGGCTTCATTGATGGAGGGCAAAGAGGTTTCCTTGAGGTAGGCTTCAAATTCAGGACGGAATGTTTTGGTCAAACCGACGAAGTCATTCTCCTTCTTTTTCAAATCGGTTTCATGTAACATATTTTCCAAGGTGGCAATAGTCTTTTTGATGTCCTCCTCGAAGGCTGTCTGTTTGGACAAAAGAGAGCTGTAGAAGACGATGGCACCATGGATGTCTTCATTGACTTCGGCATGTTCCAATTTCAGGGCAATCCATTTATTGAATTCGGGGGAGAAGTTCGTTTGGATGGTATTCAGGATTTTTTCCTTTTCCTCTGCGGATTCGGATTTCAAGGCACCCTCGGTGATACCGATTAATTTTTTCAATTCCTCAGCATATTTAGCGGCATCAGCATGCTTCTCGAACATGTCGTACAACTTCAACTGCTCACGGATGTTATTGTTCAAGGCTTCAGCCAAATTCATGGCCATCGAGACCTATTGGATCACAATAGAATTATTTTCAAAATTCAAGACCTTTTTTTCTTGTGATATAAAATGTTTACCTGAACCAGGGCAGCGAAGGCGAATACTGTCAAAATCAATAATTTGGCCATTTTTTTGGAGTGGAGTCTTGTCCAAGCGTGCGGCAAGTGACTTTAGGAACTACTGAATACCGGCTTATCTTAAAGGCTTTTATATGCGAGGTCTCAATGGGGGGCTAAGCTAGACTTCATTTGCCGTTTGGTTTTCTTAACAACTTATTGCGAGAAACCGGGAGAGAGATTTCGCGAGAAAACAATCAATGTCGTTGTTCTATGTATGTACGCATGTATGTACGTAGATACGTACATAACGCCTGGTTATTTGTTTTTAACGATCATCGTTTAGCGTTTATTTTGTTTTGATTTGTTTGTTTTTAAATCGAAAATTCCGAAAAATCCCCAAAAATAAAAATAAAGTACAGGGGTGTTGTGGTTTATTTTGCTGACACAAAAAAATACGCAAACATGCAAAGTACACAGAAAAAATAATTACCAGATTTTTTTTCTATAGAAAAAAGACACCTCAGCGGACCTGAGGAATTTTTTTCTATAGAAAAAAGACACCTCAGGGGACCTGAGGAAATTTTTTCTATAGAAAAAAAGACACCTCAGGGGACCTGAGGAATTTTTTCTATAGAAAAAAGATACCTCAGGGGACCTGAGGAATTTTTTTCTTTAAAAAAAAGATACCTCAGGGGACCTGAGGAATTTTTTTCTTTAGAAAAAAGATACCTCAGGGGACCTGAGGAATTTTTTTCTATAGAAAAAAGATACCTCAGGGGACCTGAGGAATTTTTTTCTATAGAAAAACAGACCTCAGGGGACCTGACGAATTTTTTTCTATAGAAAATACAGACCTCAGGGGACCTGAGGAATTTTTTTCTATAGAAAAAAACAAACATCAGGGGACCTGAGGATTTTTTTCTATAGAAAAAACAGACCTCAGGGGACCTGAGGAATTTTTTTCTATAGAAAAAAACAGACCTCAGGGGACCTGAGGAATTTTTTTCTATAGAAAAAAAGACACCTCAGGGGACCTGAGGAATTTTTTTCTATAGAAAAAAAGACACCTCAGGGGACCTGAGGAATTTTTTTCTATAGAAAAAAAGACACCTCAGGGGACCTGAGGAATTTTTTTCTATAGAAAAAAAGACACCTCAGGGGACCTGAGGAATTTTTTTCTATAGAAAAAAAGACACCTCAGGGGACCTGAGGAATTTTTTTCTATAGAAAAAAAGACACCTCAGGGGACCTGAGGAATTTTTTTCTATAGAAAAAAAGACACCTCAGGGGACCTGAGGAATTTTTTTCTATAGAAAAAAAGACACCTCAGGGGACCTGAGGAATTTTTTTCTATAGAAAAAAAAGACACCTCAGGGGACCTGAGGATTTTTTTTCTATAGAAAAAAAGACACCTCAGGGGACCTGAGGAATTTTTTTCTATAGAAAAAAAGACACCTCAGGGGACCTGAGGAATTTTTTTCTATATAAAAAAGACACCTCAGGGGACCTGAGGAATTTTTTCTATAGAAAAAAAGACAACTCAGGGCACCTCTATAGAAAAAAAGACACCTCCGGGGACCTGAGGAATTACCTAAAACTCCTGAGTATTCTAAGACTTTTTTGGTGTCAGAACCAATACCCACATGAAAGACCGTTCTTATTTTTTTTATAAAATTGTTAGATTTTATTTTTTATTTTTGTTGTATTTTTAATTCTTGTTGTTGTAATAAATAACTTAGCCTCGATCAATCACATTGGAATTTTTCCGCAAACTTCTTAAGACAATTCAATTTGTTTCTTGGTCAAATAGATGTGCAAGTCCTTGTTGCTACCACTTGAGATTTCAGCCAAGACACGGTTCTTATCCTCAATGGTGGCCTTAGGACCCAAGGCACCTTGAACCTGAGCCTTCAAATCGGTAATTTCCTTAACGAATTTACCTTCCTTTTGAGCCAAAATGGCATCGAAGAACTTGACCGTCTTCTCCAAGGTATCGTTGAGGGTGGGCAAGGAGCTATCCTTCAAGTAGGCAGCGAATGCAGGACTGAAGGTTTCGGTCAAACCGAGATATTCCTTTTCCTTCTTTTGCAAGTCCTTCTCCTTCAAGAGACCCTCCAAGGTGGCAATGGTCTTCTTGATTTCAGCTTCATGGGCGGATTTTTGTTTCAACAACTGTTGGTAGAAGGTAAGGGCACCGGAGATTTCATCGTTGACTTCGGTCTCTTCCAATTTGGTGGCGATCCAATGGTTGAATTCGGCATTGAAGTGGGTGTGGAGACTGTTGATGGCGTTTTCCTTCTCTTCGACAGATTGGATTTTCAAAGCATCTTCGGTGATTTTCATCAATTTCTTCAAATCACCGGAGAACTTGGCGGCGGAGGAATCCTTGGCGAATTCTTCGTACAAATTCAAATGGTGGCGAATGTTGTGGTTCAAGGCTTCATTCAAGTCGACGGCCTGAGAAACCTATTAAATTACACACACACAGAGAGAGATACACACAAAAATTAAAGGTCTATTCCAATGGTAATGTTGAGGGAGAGTAGCAGAAGGGGAAGAGCGGAAGTTGTTGGTTTACCTGAGCAAGGGCAGCAAGAGCAACTACCGACAAAATGAATAACTTGGCCATCTTTTTCTGAGTGCGTTGTTTCGTCTACGTTCCACTTGGTTGTGACTGATGTTGGAAACTAATGATAACCAACTATTTTATGGCCTTATATATGCTTGTGATCGTACGTCGTTGATGCTGTCGCCGTTAGCCCTTCTTCGACGTCTTTTGGCCAGAAGTGAAAACTGTCAACATCTTTTTCGTGTGTTTGCGTTACGCATGGAAATTTTATTATAATCATATTCGTCGCCGTCTGCTTCTGCTTCTTCTTCTTCGTTTTTGTTTTGATTTTTATTTATTTGCGTTTTTATTGTTATGAGGCGATCAGGCACACTTCGAAAGTTACGACAGAAAAAAAAATCCCCCAAAAAGAGAGTGATGACAACAACAAGAACGATTTAAATCAGAAACAAGAAAAAAATCTGGTACTGAGGTTTAGTTTTTTACAAAAACAAAAAAACACCTCAGGGAACCTGAGGATTTATTTCTATAGAAAAAATACACCTCAGGGGACGAAAGGATTTTTTCTAAAGAAAAAGTCATCTCAGGGTATCTTAGAAGTATTTTTTCAAAGCCTAGACATAGATTTAGGATTTTTGTAATTATTTTTTCTAATGGATTTTTATACCCTACACAACTATGTTGTCAGGGTATTATATCTTTGTGCAGCCCCAAATGTTTGTAACGCGGCGAAATATTGGTCCTAGACCTACCTTTAAGTATACCGATCGACATATCTCGACTAGCTGAGTCGATCTAGAAATGTATGTCCGTCCGTTCATCCATTTTAATTTCTACACACGATACAGGCCACAGTTATGGACCAATCTTCACGAAATTTTGCATTCTTTTTGAGAAATATCGGGTAATATATAGGGGATGAAATGGACCAAA